GCTTTTGGCTTTTGGTGGCTTTTGGCTTTTGGTGGCTTTTGGCTTTCGGCGGCTTCTGGCTTTTGCCGGGTGTTGGCTTTTGGTGGCTTTTGGCTTTTGGCGGCTTTTGTTCGGAGGGATGTTTTCATATTGATCACTAGCTTCTGTTGACGTATCGGCTCTACAGCGGACTTGCCACGAAGTGCTGTGCCTGCCACGAAATCTGCACCTCGAGGTTCACACAGTGCTGTGCCTGCCACGAAATCAGCACTTCGAGGTTCGAGAAATGCTATGCCTGCCACGGAAACCGGTATGTGACAGCGCTACACGAAAAAAAAATCCCAAAAAGAGGCAAAAAGAATCCAAAAAAAGATCGTCAGCCGTTATTGGACACCCCGAATCACCTCTAAGGGGCCATGAATAGACACCCTTTAGGGTGTCCTGGTATGGAAAATAAATCTTTAAAGCCACTCCTCCTCTCTGGGACTGCCAAAGCGTCGACTTTTCAAGTGACCTAAGGAATTCTCCTTCGAAGTTTGGCCCCCGAAGGAGAAAGAAGCAGGGTACCCCAATCCAAAAAGAGGAACACCCACTGATTGTAGAGTTTTGTTATCTTTCAGGGGGGGGCATGCCGCGAAAACTGAAAGATGTGCTCATAGGTGCCCCCGAAGAAAGCACCTCCAGGTCCTAACGAAGCCGATTGTAGTGATGGGCCTCAAGGAAGGTGGGTGGTTCCACATGGTCCTCAGATCGCAGCTCCGCGAGGCCTTTGGTTCATCATCGGAGGCTTATTGGAGTGCTTTGGATTGTGGAGCAAGAAGCTACTAGGGGCTTCTGGCCTTACTACTAGCAACAAGGACGCTACGTTCGGAGCAAAGGGCATCGCTACGAACGGAGCGTTCGGACGCTACTGGTCCAAGATGGAACACCTGTTCATCTTGATGGTGCCATTCATTTTGAATGGAAGCTGATCGAGTTTACGTCTCTACGTTGTTCATGCTTTTGCTCTGAACATGGTGATCGGTGGTTGGCTCTTCGTGGGTGAATCTCAAGTTCAGAGGTCGCAACTCAAATCACTTAAGGCCAATCAGATGTACTGAAAGGCTTCGATCTGCGTCGAAGCATTTTTCAACTCCTGTAGGCGAGGAGCGATGGTCCATTGATGGTGATGGATGTCCAAGACACGGTCAAAAACCTTGAAGCCTTTCTTCAACCAAACAGGTATCGGAAGGTGTTCGAAGTTTGTGGATTTATTTGGGAAACTGTTGTTTTGAATGATTAAATGTATCGTATACTGTACTTCCGTATGACTCCTCAAGTGCCTAAGGACCCATGAGGAGCCCAAGTAACGCGAGCCTATACAAGCTGCAAGCCGCTACCACCCAGACGCTCCAAACAGCTCTTGGTCCCTCAAAACGCTAGGGATTTGAGGGTCCGGACCCCTACTCAGGAGGGTCCGGCCCCTACTTAGGAGGGTCCATGAGCGTCTGGGCAAGAAAAAGGACCGACTCAGGTCCCTCCCAACGATGGGCATCGTGACACTGATCGTGCTCACTTTGGTCTATGCACTGGCCATTTGCCTCACCACGACGGTCGCTGGGGAGCCCTTGTTGCTGTCCTTTTGGAACCACGGGCCGATGTACACCGGTTCCTTGACCGCGACGCCGGGGAGGACGGAGCGCCGGCCTTCTGGGGAGAAGAGTTCGAGAGTGTTCGAGATATGATCTCCCAACAATTCACGTAATATATATTGTACTATGATTTATATATTGCAAGTATTACGGTACTATTCCTAAGAAATTGTTTTTGTTATTCAAGTAACAACCATGACCGGGCACTGTTACATACTAGTTACAGGGAATGGCACATACCCAACAAGGAACCATTTCTTTTGTTGGTTGGTTTTTAGGGGCCCGTTTTACGTTGCAGTCTTGCTTGAACTGTAGGATAGTTGTGATTATGATATGTTTATGAATGTGTATGATGTTTTAAGGGTCAACATGGGCGAATATTCCATACATATGCATTGTTGGGGATGTGTATTTCAACACTTCCCGGCACTGGCAGAGAGATACATTTGTGGTGTGGATGTGTAGGAAACCACCCAGGATCGCAAGCTCCTTTTGCTGCCGGTGTGAACCATCCGCTGCCCTGAAGTGAAACAATATGAATCAATGGTGTTAAGCACAGGCACTTGTTTTGATCCACACTCCCCGCTACTCATCGACCAGCCACACTGGCTGTCCATTTCTTTTTTCCAACTTCTTGGGGGGCGACGGGTGAGGACCATCGACGTGTTACACCCTAGGGATCCAGTCGTACCGAACCTCAGAAGACACGACTGGACCCTCCTGACACCTATAGAACAGTGTCGAACACATCACCTTCTCAGAGGGTGGCAGTGGCCTAGGGACAGGGATGGTCCCAAGGATCCGAAGCTCCCGCCGAAAGGGCGAACCACGTACATGAAGGGGAACCAGGGCTCGCCTGTGCTGCATCTTAGAGCCTATGTATATACTATATGTTTGCTATATAGCGAATCTTTAGATATCAACATCATAAAGCATAATATATTCTATATCATGTCTATCTATACCAGGACCCTCCAAAAAGTGTTGTCGTGGGACCCGAACAGGTGGTGGTTGCTGGGCACCGAACTTGGAAACACAGGAAACACCTCTTGGAGGGTGGTAGTTGATGCGCATAACAAAACAAACATATATGATGTGTATATATGATGTGTATCTCTGTGTGTCATTGTGGATAGAAATCAAGCCTGCAGCTCTGTGTGGCACCTTCACTGCTTCACTTCACCCCGCCCACCGCCCGCAGCCACCGCAGCCATCGCACCGCTCAGGAACCGTCGGCCGCTCAATGCTGACGGTGCTACAGGTCGCCACATTGGATGGCTGGAGCGATTTGATCGCTCGGCCCATGTCACGAGACCGAGGATTTGGTTCGTTTCGTGTGCTTTTTTTTGCTGGCATCGATGGACGTATTTGCACGGGTGATTGGGTGGGTGGGTGGGGTGGGGTGGAAGATTTGTGGTAGGGATGGAACGGCGAGCGTAGAGGTTTCTTTGTGCTGGTTTTCGGCCTATTTAGTTGATTTAGTTGGGGTGAAGGAGGGGTCGAGACGGAATGGTTGCAATCAGAGACAGCATGCTATGGAGCTGTTGCTCCCTTTATGTGTTGTGGCGCGTTCGGGTGTGTTGGCCATGCAGGTATTACGTGGTATAACAACTGGGTGTGCCAGGCGTGTGACCTGGGATCCCCATCGAGAAACCAGGACCTTCAAAGTGACTGTCCTTGAGATCCTAGAATGAGGTCACAGACAGAGACTCCAAAGAGGTCACCTATAGAGTCTCCAAAGAGGTCACGAACTGAAGGTCCTGGAAGGTTTGGGTGTATTTCTTCAGTCTCCCTACACCTACAGGAGGTTCCTCCTCAGGTTTGGTATGACTGGACCCGACTGGATGGCACCCGGGCCCCGGTCGTCCCGATCGCCGATCGCCGATAGGTTAGTCGGTCCTTCCGGTCGAGCTTCACCTCAGGTGGGATTGGTCGCCTTTTGCCATGGTGATCTTGATCCTCACGGTTCCTTGGAGCACCGCTCAACAGGTCTCCTCGTTCGGCTCGGCTCAGGAAGGCTCGTTCGCCGCCGATCCGAGACGACCGGATGCATCGGTCGTGCGACATGGAGGTAGAATGCACACGTATCGATTTGAGAAACATCGTTTGGCGATACTAAAAGATCCTGAGTAAAGAAATGCCGTTACATCTATAGTCTATAGTACAATTTTACCTCTTGTGCCAAGCACGAGCGGCGTCATAGAGTCATACATGTTCTATAATCATGTTTATAGAATAACATGTGTTTGTTTGTTTCTCATTGTGTTCCTCCTGTTTGCATGGCGTCACTCGTTGAAATAGGGGTGTTAGGTGGGCCTGGAAGGACGACCATCAGATCCAGCGTGGCAGCTTCGTCCTCGTGATCCAGCGGGCGCTCTGCGGCGCGAAGTGCCGGCGCGAAGTGCCCGAAACGAAGTGAGGTCATCTTGTTAAACTTTGGCACCTTCAACATTTTGGTGGCCATTATGATTGAGCGCATCGTGACCATGGCCACAGACACCAAGGAGAGAGAGAGAGAGAGAACTCACGTGGAGGGGGGAACCGTGTCCTTGCATTTATAGGATTCCAAGCTGCAAGCCGTATTCAGGACATGTTCGCTGTCAACGTTCCTCAAAACTCCACCTCGTTACAACATACTTCAATCCTCCCCGCACCCACTGCAAAATCACCGAACTGAAACGGGGGCTATAGGCCAGGAGCCCTGAACAAAACGTCCGAAGGGGGGCACCATGGTAGGGTGGTATACTGGTATAGATGGTGGAAACGCGCACGTTTGATGCAATCAGCTATAATCAAAGGCCTGAATGGGCCATGTGATGACCATGTGATGATCCCTAATGACTGGGAGCGGCATGGAGCGACCGGACGACGGCTTCCGACGGACGGTCGCGGTCGTAGGAAGCCAACGCTCGCTTTCTGGCCACGACGGAGCGACTTGGGCCGTGGACGCTGCCCGTGGGACGACTCGGTCAATGACCCGGGTGTGCGGCACCACTGATAGATTTGGGGTACCACGAAGTAAATATATATATATATGTGCAGTATATATAAAAATATGTATAGAAGTTTAAGAAAATTATATATGATGTATGTAACATTTTAGAATGCACCAGGAAAGGAGCAATTAGAGAGTGGCACACCCAGCAGTACAAAAGCATACAAAAGCATTTTTCATGCAGGCACTTAGTTATATATTGCATGACAACGAGTTCACACATTTGTACACTAAAAGACTGACGACGTACCAAAAAGATCCACAAAGCCTGCATATTGAAAGGTCTTGGACACTGAGCTTACTTTCCCGAGGGTTGAACATTACTTGAGAACACCTTTCAGTCCAAGCATAGGCATAGGTGGGTCATACTAAGCTTGATGGACCTTTCATCCGGAAACTGCTGTGTGCACTTGCTGCCAGAACTTGGGACGCCCCTCTTCTCCCTGTTCTCCCATTGGGATCACCACGGATCACCGCCAGGTACCACCTCCTCAGAGCCGTAGTGCTACATTCCCCGTGGTTCCCCTGCACCATGCCATGCAGCCCCCCAACATATATCTGTTGATGAGGGCTATGAGTCAACTATACTGCAAGACATTGGTAAATGTATTAGGAGCGTTCTGAACGTATACACCCCAAAAACTTGTGTGTATGTGCATGTATTGCATCTTCCCTTTGCAGTGTCCATTGCATGGGCTTTTTGTGTCGCTCAACTGAGGCAAATGATTATCCAGGAGCTTGCCACCCTCTTCCACCGCTCTGATGAGGACAAATCTTGCTGTCTATCGCACATGGAATGTGGAATGGACTGATTTGCTGCTAAAACAGCCTAAAGCCAGTCTCCGCTACAATCAGTTTTTTTTCCTTTATGTTTCTTCCACTTCCACGTCTTACCTGGATGGTACCCGTTCGACCCCTTCGACCGACGCCATGGAAGACCCGGTGCGTTCGGATGGACCGGTGGACGCGTCGGCACCTGGGCGGCGGCGTCGAGGACGGGAGTGGAAACCTCTCGTTGAAGGAGTTCAAGAAGCTCATCAGGCCGGTGGAAGCGGAGTGCGCGGCGATGGTGAAAGATAAGATGTAGAAAATGGAGTGACTGTAGGTTGAAAAATTGGTCGGTAGATATGTCAAAATATATATAATATACTTACAAACTGTCTATTGTTAAAACTTACGTATTTGTAACTAATGATATATGCATAAATCAGAGTAAGAGATACATAGGACACTCCACAAGTGCACTTTTCCTGCCGTTCTGCTAAATACCACAAATTCCAGCTGTGTATTGTCCTAACATGCTGTTACAATTTCAAGTTTGTCATGTTCGCATAGTTTGCCAAACACAGGGCTCAGCAATCGCCGATGTTTGGTCAAGGAAAGCCACCATGTCAATCCGCTTGTTTAATGTTTGAATTCCAGGACCTTCCAACAGGTGTTTCTTGGACACCCCTTAACCTCTAAGAGGATATTCATAGACACCTCTTGGAAGGTCCTGGTTGAGGTGCTTTTCACTAGAGCACCGAACTGCACGCAGTGCGACTTCGTGCGCATTGAGATAGCTGGTGAACTCACCCACCCCGCCCGTTTGACCGACCGACCTCGGAGTGTACCCCGCAACCAAAACGCCCCAAAACCTCCGGAACGTCAGGCAGCCGAACTTGATTGGCAAGCTCTCACTGCTGGGACTGAAAGTCAACGAGGCGGAGGAGCTCTTCCACCTCCTAGACGCCGATGCCAGCGGGGAGGCGACGGGGGGACGGTGACTGCTTTCAAAGTCCGGACCTTCTCCACCGAAACGCAGGGTTCCGGACCCGGTGCCCAAACCCTATGTGTTGGTGTTTGGGGGCCCGGATTCTGAGGGAAAAAGCATATCGACATGGCTAAATGGACTGATAATGGCTGATCTCCAACTTGGAAGAGCTTTCTTCAATCCACCAAATGTGAACAGATTGTTTCTTGATGTTTCTTGGTGTCTTTTAATTATGTGTTTGTTTATGTTTGTTTACTGGTGTGACGGGCCACCAACTGGGATTATTCGTGGATGCCCCGTGTCGTGTTGCCTCTTGCTTCACTCGCAGGTCACGGGGGAGGAGTTGATCCAAGGAATTCAGTCGCGGGGCCTTGACTGGGAGGGGACGAGTGAACGCGTGAAGCAAAGGGGCGGACGTGTGAAGATGAGGGTGAGGTACTTGCCCTAGGGCTCCTGGCCCATCTCCTCAGAAGGTGGTTAGACCCCCCTGGCACCCACCCCAATCACCGTACCTCAGGAGGTGGTTGGAGCCCTAGGGTTGAGCAGTGGCCATGGCAAAGCCAACGAATGATATAGTGGGGAGTCCAACGTATACCAGTGATTAATGTAGATTTATTAAACCCGCCATATGAAGAGCATTTCCAATTCAATTGGGAGGTTTAGTAATCAAGAGTCCACATTATTCTAGCAAGGCTTTTTGACAGGTCACCTATGTGTGACACCCCGGAGCGAATTCTGATGATCATTTTGCATGCGGACCAAGTGTGAACACGCCCGAACACGCCCGAACGCAGGAGGTATCAAAGAAGGAAAGGTGATAAGCAACTCTTACAAATAGAAGCCCAAGGGAGATGTGCTGCCAGTTTGCCCATAGATGTTAGGCATTGTCATTGTCAGGCAATGTTTCATGTCAGGAAATTGTATTGGAATAGGACAATTTACATAGAATCTACAAATAGATTCGACCCACCTACAGTCACGAAACTTGCCATAATGCTTATCGTCCATTAGTTGCCTCCTCTTGCCAAATGGTTGATGAAGGGAATTTCTTGTCACACGTGAAGGTTGACAATGTATCATATTGTATCATATCATGCTCACCGTGGCCAAAGCAAGGGCCACCTGGATGGGAAGCTATCCTGCTCCGCAATTTAATGCTTGGTTTTGTTGTTGCTTTTCGCTTAGTGCTCAAAACGAGCTGCAGAAGATGACGCCACCTCAACTCTCAGTTACTAGTTTCTGTATTTTTGTTGATTGCCACAAGCACACCAGTCACCAGGTTTGATCCGGCTGGTCAGCTGAGGCGTTTGAAGGGGCCTGCGAAGGGGCAGGAGCCTGTAGCAGTCGAAGTCGCAGTGTCGCAGTGTAGCAGTGTAGCCTGTTGGCTGGGCCGATGCTGCTCCTTGAGGTTCGATCAAGTTTGATCAATTTTGATCCATAAGAAGCTTCCTTACAGGTTGTTGGAGTATGTTGGAGTGACCAACCCCGAGAAAACAAGCCTCTCGAGCTGCCATTCAAGTGAACATGAATGTTCAATTAAACTAAACGGAGGAAAGCCTGGCCCATCAGTGTTGAAGAAGTCTCAAATCACAAAACACTTTTTGTTTCCCAGATTCTACGGCTCGAGTGGTCACCCATGCGCAGGACATGGTCTATCTCATTAGCGTCGTGCAGAAGGACTGAGCCTTTGTGCCCGGCGGGAGCGGGTCCGATCTCTGTCGAGAGTGGATGGTGGTTCAACGGCGTCCGGGAAAAGAGGCCCGGATGGGAACGTCGCAGACTCAGCACGTTGGAGACTGGATTCATCGATGCAGCACGTTGGCAGAAGAGATGTTGGAGACGTCGCCTAGGTTGAAAAACCACGAAACGACCACAACCTGTGCAAGCCTGATGAATTGATGTTCCCGATTTTCTAGATGCCTAAGCTAGCTGCTTCCGAGGGAGGGACTTCGCCAGAGGAATCCATATATTTCCCTTCTAATAGGGAGACCATTCGGAGCTCTGTATACTGCCCGTGCGGGGAGTGTCTCTTCATCGACGTTGGTGAGGAACATTGGAGAGCCGGTTGCTTCGTTCAGCTCCTCCGGCGGGTGAACCAGAAGGCGGATGAGATCCAGGCACGACCCGCACGACCCGCGGCTTGACGGATGATCCTGATCACCGCTTCTGACATCATTTCTGCAGATGAACAAGGACCCTGAATAATTAAACTATGGATACCCATGGAAGATATGGAAGACCAATCTTTCTCTAGAACCTGGTGGTTTTTGAGAGTCACTTTGGATTTGCGGGAGGGTAAGGAATTCATACAAAGGAAACCTGAAGAATGCTTACAGAAATCCCAAATCTTCTGAAATGCTGCAGAGCTTTCAGACACAAAGGGGTGAACTCGGTGAACTGTATCAATGCCATGTCCAACTGCCATGGGACGCCTCGATGTGTCGTTGGGGCCCCCAGGCTCTGGTGTTGTTGGTTTTCTTCGATTCACCTCTCGAGTTCTCTTCATTTTCGGTGTGAAATGCCAGGGTCGGTGCCATGGCCAGGGTCCTTTGGTGCCATGAGCACCATGAGCCACAGCCAATCACAGCCGTCGCAGCGCCTCCCAAGCAGGTCAGGCTCAACCATGTGGGCGCCTGGGCGGGAGAAAGCTCTTTTGCCGTGACACAGGTGTGGCCGGTTTCCAGAAAGAACTTGGACTGAATCCATGGGTTTTTTGCCTACATGGATGGCTGGTTTTCATGTTTTCATAGAGCGTCAGCAAACCAGTCCCAATGAGTGTTCGATGGATCGAGTTATGGCCTGCCGACGGTCCCTAACACCCAGAGTAACACCCAGGAGTCCAAGGTTTGACCATGTCACGACTGTGAACCTGAGAGCTATGCCCGAGGATGCATTCGGAGCATGATCTGGACATGATCTGGCTGAGACCGAATTAGATCTATGATCTAGTCCACAAGTATTCCTTTGCCAAATCCCAGAATATCCGGTCAGGGTGGCATAGGGCTTGTGCCAGAAGCAGCCCAAACTGGCACAGCCAGCGGAATTTTGACCTCACATTGACAACAGGTACAGTGGATCGTGACCCACCTGCCTTACGCTTCCAAACCCTTGAGATTCGTAGGGTCCGAAACCCAGAGGTTGCATTGCAAACCTAGGTTTTTTTGTAGATATATAGCTGGGGCTGCCCGGGGCTTTTGTTGATTCTAACTAGGGTTTGAAGGGGCTGGTATTCTTTTACAGATTCATACAGATTATACTATATCAATTCTACAGGCATACTCGCATGGTTCCAAAAAGCTATATTAGCAACCCACGGGCCAAAAGGAACAGTACAAGCATTTTGAACATGGTTGACCTGGTGCTGTAGTCTCAAACCCTCAGTTCAACCCTTGGTTGTTTGGTAAAGACTATCAAATCAATGCTGGAGCAAGAATCCACCCCAGGTGCCGAAGACTCGCTCTTAGGTGCCCGGCTCTCGCGAGAAGCTGGCAGGGTTCGCAATGCCGATCGCTACTGGGAACACCTGCAGGTGCAGGCGAGCGCAGGATCGATGCCGCAGCAGCTGGTCCACGGATCTTCCCCCGGTCACCGGGCTCCTCCCCCTAAGTGTCAAGAGTAGATGGCACTGGTACGTTGTCTCGAGGGGGGTCAAAAGAACCTCTTGGATTTCCCGGATGGAAAAAGAACCTCTTGGGTTTGTGCCATCTACTCTGAAAGCACTGTACCCGGAATCTTCCAGAAGAATACTCCCGTACATCGAAGGAGTTCACCTCGCGGAACCACACCGGGTTGGCACCCGGTTGGGAAACCGGAACCCCGACAACTTCGAGGTTCAGCGGCGACGTGCCGGGCCCTGCAGGGTCCTGCAGAGCCCTGCAGGGGCGTGCCGGGCCTGGTCAGTGAAATTTCTCAGACAGGAGCCTGTCGGTGTGGAAGAAACATGGAGAAGCAGCCGTGTTGCCACCCGAGCACCTGCCAAGGTTGGAACTCTCAAAAAGATGTAACATGTCTACAGCATAGACATCTATCTCGTTCCTGGTTTGGAACAAGTACGTATAAGTACACATATATAATATAGTTAATTTTTAGTTATATAACACACCTATACATATACACTATCACTATATATATGTATACAATTATTCCTAATTTTCCTCAAGTAGGTGGGACAAGACCAACACCATCCAACACCCTGGAAGACCCAGCCGTTTGATCTCACCTTGGTCCATCGGCATCGGCATCGTCGACCACGAGAGGCGAAGAACCGTGACTCCGTCATCGCGGAGATGGATCAGAAGCGCTTCAGCCAGTACCCGGTGCTAACCCAGGCAGCGTTTCATCTGGTTTCTGTTGTCTCATGTGGTCTCGGATCACTTGACTGAAGTCTTCTGGTGCAGCCGCAGCGCCGTTGGGAGGCCCAATAGCTAGACCGGTCTCCTCTGGTCTGCGTGTAGGAGCTTCTTCACATATGGTGGCCAACCCAAACAGAACAGCTTTCCCCCCCCCCCAAGGGCTCCAATCCTATCCTCAGGTGGTTAGACCCTCCACACCGACCCTGAGACTGCAGTTAAGTGCAAGCACTCCATCCGAACCCCCCTATCCAGACCGGGTTCCCAGCGAACCCCACGGTCGTGAAGGACTCCGAGAGTGAGAAACCGAGTGGTTTCGGGGCATCAGCAGCCCCTGCTCACTGACCAAGCTCGGGGCCAGGGATTTTTTTGCTGGGAAGGTTTGTTACAGGCTCGGTGTCCTATCCCCATAATTGTTGCCTATCACTGGGAAGGGAAATGCACTCAGAGGCTGGGGTTCCAACGACCTTTGCTGGAACGGAGCCATGCCATGGCCAGCACGATAGTTGATAAATGCGACTTGAAGGAGGAGCCACTCTTAGTGGGTGGAGGAACACCTTGTTTTATCTTGCTTATTCATACCCCATGCTCAGTGTTTCCTCACAAGACCAAAAACGCTGGCTGCTTTCCTATATAATCCAGGTACCTAAGATATAGATGCTTCTAGATCGATGAGCTGGATAGACTGTCAACCATTTTTCGCATGGACCGGTGGAAGACTTCGTGCAGGCGCAGGTGAAGATGAAGGGAGTTCCTTGACGTCCGACTTGATGCGCGAGTTGGGGGGGCGAGGCAGTGGCAGAATCCGAACTGGAAGAATTGCAGTTCCATGGATGGCTGGTCTTGAGATGTTTATTCAGGCTTAATCAGGGTCAATGTAGGTCAAGATTCATGGATTAGTTGGGGAACCTTCATTCCTTCCCGTCTAAATGCGCAAAGCGTCGCCTGCGACTTTTTTCGACTGAAACCCAGCGCTTGTACGCTAGCCTTTAGGGATCCACTCGCACCTTCGCTGGACCGTTCTGGACCCTTCTGGCTTCGAAGAACCGCTGGAATCCGCTAAAGAATCTCATCACCTTCTCAAAAGTTCTCAAAGGGCAGCGGATCCACGGGGAGTGTGCCATCCCTATAGGATCCTATAGGGATCCACATACCCTGTGTTATGTAGGTGCCAGGAGGGTCCAGTCGTACCTTCTGAGGTTCGGGACGACCGGATCCCGAGCACATTGATGTTCCATTGTGCAAATTCATGCACTTTCACCGGTCCTTTGGAATACGCGGCCCGGCTCAGGCAGATGAGTTGGATAACAATTTGCTCGAGTGAGGAATTTGGCGTTTTTTCCTCCGCAGGAGGGTCGACGAAAGTGGCGAGTGCCAGAGGGTCGATAAAAGGGCGCAGTCATATTGTGCAGACAAATCATGCAGCTACCTTCCAGTCCGGAAAGTGGTGCTACTAGTTTTCGTTATTGAAGCATAATTACTGAAGGCCAAGACTGTGTACAGTTTTTTTTGTTTTGATGTAGACTTCTTCAATCATTTCACGCTGAAATTGCTGAAGTTTAGGAAGAACCCTGAGACATGCAAGAAATTCAGAATGTCCGAAAACTGTGCACTTGGTCACCGGTCAGACAAATGTAACATTTCAACAACAATCTTACACTTGGAGCTCGAACGTCAATTTGCATGGGATATTTTGTACGCGAAGCCGCCTTCAATCAGCACCACCTTGTTTCTCCGGAAATCTCTTGGTGGATCTGCTGGGGCAGCGTTATTATTTTCAGACACGAGTTGCGGGTCTCGACTCTCCTGTGAGATGGCACATGATGACACGAAGTACTTTCTCAGCACAAAGTGCATGAGTGTAAATGTCCAGATGTGCTGGGAAGCGGCCGTAGTCGAGCACAACGAGGATCGGGAGAAGACGCAGTCAGACAGGGGAGTTTTCCGGACCCAAACACCAACTCTTTGTTTTACATGGTTTCAATAAGTAGATGGGGGTCCACATCAACCACCTAAACTTGGAGGATTGTGCCATCTATAGTAAGATATAGTAAGTGTTGAGCATGTGCAAGTACTTGGGCAAATCCAAGATTGAAGAGTTCCTCGTCAGGGTTGGCGGGGCTTTTGAGGCGCACCGCTGGCCGCAAGAACTCGAGCGCGCAGCAACTCGCGCAGCATGTGCCCCGTGAAGAGCATGGCGGCAGACTCACACATCGTCAACCTTCAGTGACTCAAAGAGGGCTGAACTCTTGACTATACCCTGGAAGTCGAAGACCATTTTCATGGCTGATCTGGTTTTGCAATATCATGTGAAAATCCTATAGTAAGATTAGTAAGTAACCTTTAAATCCAATGGTGCTTCGACTTCTAGGATATATAGCAGACGTGCGCTTCGGAGGGGACGGACGACGTTCGCGACCCGAGCGGCTAAGCACTGCACCGTGGGGGTCCAGTGCTTCACCACGTGAAGTGGCGGAGGGATTTGGGGCCATGAGCGACCTTTGGGACGTTCCGCATGTCCTTGTCATTTACGTTGAACTGACACCATGTCCCTGGATGAACCAGTGATGAACCATGAGCGTCAAGTAATGAGGACTAGTTGAACAAGTTAAGCAAAACGTATCAACAAGTGCCCCATAGTTTTTGCCTAGCATGTCCTGTTCTTTAGATCACTTCATTGTGGACGTCTCTTTGTTTTCAGCGTGTCCTTTCCAGGAAGGCCCTTTGTGGAGCGCACACATGCCCGTCAACTGGGCTCATTCCCCAACAACCGACTGAAGGGACTGGTAGAGGACTCCTGATTGGCCAGGATGGCCGCGGGTGGGACTGACAAGTTTCGGGGGTTGGTGGCAGGTGGACACGAGTCGTATTGACCGCCCCCACAAAACGACGGTATTACACTCTGAAAGAATCATGCCTACGTGGATGGCATGGCCGCGATATGCCGCGATGTTGGATGATCCCGAAGACCACTGGGTCTTCGTGCCATCCACTTCCTGGCTTTGCCCAGTTTCCTTGCCATTCCCAGTGGATGCCAGCTATATAGACTGTTTAGTAGACTGTTTCAGAAACCAGTGTTTGTTGATGGTTTTCTACTTTGGAACCTCTGGGGCTACTCCCAGCGAACGTTCGTGGGTTGCCTGCCTGGATCTGGGATTTGCTTCCCTCAATTCCGACACCGCGCTACTAGTAGCTCCTGGCATCGCTATACTAATTCTTAGGAGCAAAGGGCAAAGCTACTACCGCTACTAGTAGCTTCTGGCATTACTACTAGTAACAAGGAGCTACGAGTAACAAGGTGCATCGCTACTAGGAACAAGTGCATCGCTGCTAGTAGCTCCTGGCCTTCTTGAGGCCTCGGTTTCGGGACGCTCAGAAGTTCGCCGATGGGGAGGCCTAAACGATCCGAAACCCGCCACCGCTGAGTCGCGAACCGTGGCAGGAAGAGAGTTCGTTGGCTTTGGAATTAGTATGTGTTTATAGCGTCCTTGCTCCTAGTAGCGATGCCCTTTGTTACTAGTAGCCTTGTTACTAGTAGCGATGGCCTGCTACTAGTAGCGCTGCACCATTCCCAGGATTTGGTTGTTCCTTTAATTTTGATGTATATGAACTTGGCGCAGGTATCGAAGGCCACTGCCAAGACCCTGTGATGAAAGAGAGAATGGAGACGCTGACACTTTGTGCCACATTGTCAACCCCTACAATTCTGGTTTTGCTTAGGGTGATGTTGGTGTTTTTTCCCTATGGGTAAATCCATGTAAATCTTCTTTTGGTGATGGTTTCTTCCCTTAAGCAAATCCAAGTAGTTCGGTCTTATGGGAGGAATCTTCACCAGCGGGGCAAAGACCCGTTGAAAGTGCCTGGTCAGTAATGATCCAGCCCCAGAGAATCGATCTATGGAAGACATACTTAGATTGGGTACCTGAGACCACTCCAATTGGATTCCATACCATGTAATATATTATATAGCCATGTATGGAATATAAACCTGCAAGCTCGGACACTCCTGTCCGGGAAGGCGGTTTTCCACATCCGATGGTTTGAAGAGGTAGATCTTTGCACCACTGGTGATTAGAACACATTCTGAATGGCATGGGCACGGGAAGGCCCCCAGGCTCTAGTTCGGAACGTCGTTTCGTCCAGCTCCATTTCAACATGTTGTTGACCTGCCTGAACAGGCAGGCAACGATGTTGTGCATCCGCCGGGTAAGTTTAAAGTATTTCCCGTAACATCATCCCAGTGGATCCCGATTGCTCTCTAAGAAGGTAATCTGGGCTCAATGGATCTCCAGGGCATAATGGCACCAGCTTTTCTGTTAACACGTTAGAGAAACATGGTTTGCCTCAACCCTCGTACGCCATCCAACCAAAAGTTTCGTCTTTAAAACAACCGATCTGGCTCAGTGGCGGCTCATTTGCAGATCTGGCCAGATCGGATGGGTTGGAAGTGTATCTCTTGGGTTTGTCCCAATATATACCCGTAACAGTTGGTAAACAACCAAAAGGTCTGCAACCAGGCCCCATCATCATCATCATCATAATCCACTAGGCCCTGGCAATAGTATACCCAACGTATAGTTGTTTCATGTTGTTTTGGTATAGTATAGTATGTATGTTAACTATACAATATATATATATATATATCTATGTTTTTTTTCCGACGTGACTAGTATAGTTTGTTCCCATGGTGTGAGCATAAGAGATGAGATGTTGTTTTACGTATGGTTGTTTGCTCTCCAGAGATCCAGCGTCAGCGGCTGGGACCCTTCCAACAGCCTCTCTCAGACCAAGACGTACCGGTCAGACCTGCTGCAATGTCCGTCGAGGAGTTCCCATCCCAGGAAACCTGGTTTTTGCTTCAGGTGATCTCTATGTTCCCCTTTGGGGAATAGGTTCTATATTTCACAGTTCCTTAAGCCAGTCCAAAACACACACGGCCCATCCTCACCACTGCTGGCAGGCCAACATCATGGTCGCCACAGAGTTTGGTGGACGTGGCATTGATTGGCACGAGGAGCGCGGGGCAATTGGTCGCAGCTGCAGAGCGACTTGACACATGTTCCCCTTGCAAGCCCGCACCCAGTGACAGTTGTGTGTGTTTTTAATTCGAGTTCATCCTGCAAAAAAAAACAAAACGCCTTACTTAAAGGCAACTTCGATCCTTCTATGAAACATTTTGTCGCCTGGAATTGCCCTGCGTGCAGATACATGTTTGATACACAATAAACATATATATATATATACACGTAATACTTATCACCATAGCACACCCAATAACCGAACAGAATCGAACATTAGAACATGTTATATATATCTAACACATACTTTAAGTAACTATCTTTCATGGGTGCCCCACTCTCAAACCCCCAAGGGCACTGGGTGCACCAGGTGGATCATGTCATCAACTTTCAGATGCCCACAGGCGCACCTGTTCAGCGTGTTCCGTTCGGCCTGACCGGGGGGGGGTCCACGGGGTCCACGACTCCCCAAGACTCCACGGTACTCACCTTGAGTAGATGGTACAGACCCCCAAGGTCGGTGGTTGAGATGGACCCCCATCTGTCTAAGACATGTAGGGGTTCTAGATGGTTCTAGTGGTCTGTGCCATCTACTCTGGAACCAGTGTAGGTGCCATCATGGGGTCTGTGCTATCTGAAAACCATGGGCCGTCCGTCTACCTATGTGTGTGTGTGGAATAATTTTTTGGTGGAAATTATTCCGGTATGTGGAGACGGGTCAGAATAATATTCTGAAATGATGTCCAACCCCCCCAGAATAATAAAGAAATTATTCCACCCGGGGGGGGTAGCCAAAATGGATGAAGGCACGGCCCATTGAAAACCACCGTAGGTATGAACCGATCAGGCCGGGGGGTGGTGCCAGGGGGGTCTTGGCGGCTGCGGCAGACAGATTCCAGTCCGGAGCGTATGGGTTCACTTGGGAATTCAACGATGAAGAACATGAAGAAATGGGCTTTTCCAGCTGGATGGCAGGTATGGGACTGCTTGTTTTAGGATGTTTTCCCTTATCGGGCGGGAAAGAGGAAAAGACATAGTCAGGGGGGTCGATAGAGTCGATCAACCACCCGACCTGGGTGGTGCTGGAACTTTGGACACATTGCGTTCTTGAGTGCCTTCTTTGAAGCAAATACGTGCGTATATATATATATATATATATAGATGCCATACTAGATAGATGGAGATGCTCTTCGTGGATAAGTTGAGCGGCAAGCTACCGACTTGCTGCAACAACTTGGTGTGAAGAACAAGTGAGAGCCAGTGATTGGCAGTGTGTGCGAGGCTTTCTTGGCACCAGCACCAGCCG